CAAGTTAATTTGGGACTCCCCGTCATTATTGTGAACCCTCCGTCGCTTTTGCAGTCGCTTAATACGACGTTTAAGCTGTATAATTGACCTGGTATACCAAGGGTGTTTGGCATGACGTTTTATGCTCTTGTAAGGAACAAACTGTGCTATACATTAATTATACTGTAAAATTGGTTAGTCAACGTATCAATACTGCAGTGGTCACTACTCGATAAGAAATCGTCAAAGCATGTTGCAAGTTTAGCAAAAATATAAGTGTCGTCTGCGCATTCAAAATTCAGCACAGTCTGAAACGTTGGTCGTACTGGCTTACAAGCAACATTTAAATCAACAATAACGGCCTTATGGTCGGAAATTCCATCGACAACCCTGCACTGATATCCATTCGTAACCAACTCATGGTTGGCAAAAACAAGATGTATAGAATCCTCGCGTGTAGCCTTATCAACCAGCTGCGATAGATCGAAAGCTAGTGACAGATTAATTAAAGAATCACAAATTATTCTGTCACGACCAGTTGATGTTAACAAATTCCAATCTATAAAGGGGACATTAAAGTCACCGGTCAATACGAGTTTAGAACAGTCCAACCTTTGTCCCACAATATAGTCACTGACAGTCGAAAAAACGTCTGAGGCAGAGTTAGGAGGACGATAGAGAGCACCAACAATAATAGCGGGACCATCAAGCATTAGTTTGCACAATATAGATTCAGTATTTGGGAGTTCCGGCAGTAAAGAAAATTCAATACCACTTTTAATAAAAAGTGCCACTCCGTCACCACGGCCAGAAGGCCTATCTTTTCTTAGAACCATGTAACCAGGAGGCAAGAATTCATGATCAAGGATAGATTCATTTAACCAAGTCTCGGTCACACAGATAGCTGATGGACGATGACACTCAATGAGCCAGTTAAAGTTTGCAATTTTATTAACTAGGCTACTCGCATTTAAATTCAATAGCGCAAAGGACTTCGCACTAAGCCGTCATTCATTGTTTGTAGCAGACTGCCGACGGCTTTCCTTAACGATAACTTTTTTCTTCTCATCCCAAGAATACCGAACGTTGTCCACCAACAAATGATCGTAGTGCAGCCTGGCTTTTTTTGCATCCCTTCTTATCTCGGCTGAATTCTGCCATAGTTCCCTGCGTATCTGCCTCGCGCGCTCAGAGAAGTCTTCATTTATAAATATTTTCGTGCCCTTCAACTTGCTTGCATTGCTTAAAATAGCGACCTTAGTTCTAAAATCCAGCAACTTAATAATAACAGGTCTTGGGCTAGTGCTACTGCTCTTACGCACTCCCAGCCTATGGCATCATTCGATATCGCCACACTTAACATCTAGTTTTGATGTAATCAGTCCAGTTACCGTTTACAGCAACTCGTCTGAAGTTTCCCTAGAGTTTTCGGTTAAGCCATAGATGAGCAGGTTATTTCTACGGGACCTATTCTCTAAACCGTCGTTTTTATGGTCCAGTTTACTAACAATCTCTCGAATGTCCGCTACGGCTTTCTCGAGTTCAGACACGCGTGGTGCAACATCAGTAATTGACGCAATGGACAGCTCAATTTTAGTTAATCGTTCTTCGAAGTTAATCAATCTTCGAAAGATGCAACCCTAGAGGAAAGACCTGTTATCTCCTGTGCAACTTTAGTCTGCCCCGAGAGCAACTCTCGCAACATGTCTTCGACCTCAGGACCAGGGTTACTTTCCACATCACCACACACAAGCAACAGCATTCTCAAGAAATTCATCAGCACAAAAGACATATTCATGAGGTCTGTAGGGGGGTCCGGCAGCAGCAGTAAGAAATAGTTGCCACTTCTATAGCTTTTGAAATTGTACTTTAAGCTTACCTGCAAGACAGAGCATAAGAATTTGAAGCGAGTGCTATCCATGCTATATCTTGCCATCCATGCAATATCTTGCCATCATCGAGTAGTTAATATGACGTCTACGGAATTTTCATCTGATGACGGTACTTGCCAAATGCATTTTGTCATGGCGGCCGATTGTCCCATTCCACCTGACAACAAGAATGTCTTGACGTTAACGTTCGATACAGTCATTAACGGGGATGTGTTTCTTGTCCATGTGATCGCTCGATATATGGTGGGATCGTTATAGCTCCTAGCTTGGTTAGGTTTAGAGACAACTGAGCGTTGGTCACTGCTCGTAACCCTTGTGGGGTCTTGAGGTGGCAATTGCCACCACGCTCTTCGAGTGAACGGACACAGGAGACACAGTCGGAACAAACCAAACACACATTTATTTAACTAATTTAGTACGACGATATCGTCAGCCGACTTATTATAACATATTGTGATCAACACGTTAAAACATCTTTACACAATATTAAACAACACGACAAAACGTGAGAAACACAAGAGCACACAAAAAGGCGGCGTCGCCAACACTTCACCCACCACGTGGGCCTACTGCGGGCAGGGGAATTTCGCTCTGGGTTGGCAGAGTGACTGCGTGGCCCCTTGGTTATAAATATTGCTGGTTTTTCAGGGAGGCCCGCGGGGTTGTCCACGGCAGATTCACTGCGAGAGCAACTGTTCACGCCAAACGCCACCAGCCGAAGAGACCAGCTTATTTCTTGTGCGCTGCCACCAAGGCTTGCCTGCCACCAGGGGTCACTGCCGGCGCTACCACTCTAACAACCATGATGATGAGGATAGTGGTGATCACCGCTCGCGTACATAACGCCACCTATCGCTCAATAGCCGTGACCCCGAATTACAACTTCTGTGCGGACACGTGTGTCACGCGGTGCAAACAACTTTACAGGAGAGCGTCAGTATCCCCACACTTTACATGCTTACCACTTCTCCCTCAAGGTACCCAGTTGGCCTGCTTTGCTGACACCGAACCTCTTGCCCTCATGCCCCTTCATAAAAATGCAGCAGTGTCACCTGTTGCAAAAGAAGACCATGCGATGACCACTGCTTTAATTGCTACCATAAATCCTTATCTCTCTGCGGCACGAAAGGAGGAATATTTTGGCGCTATTTCGAAAACACAGTGCTTCTTTTGATGTCCTCTCCAACCTTCTCAGGCGCACGTCCGTCGCAGAGCACCGTATCGAACCAGAGGGTAGTTTCATTGTACACTGCCGACCACACCGTATTTTGTTGTTGCTGTGCTTTATCGCTTGTACTTATTGTTTATTGTCTTTATTATTGTATCTTCATCTCTAATAAAGCATCGGGGCGATTGTTTAGAGGGGGGCAATGCCACATTCGTTTCCTCAAGTTTTTTTATCGCCCTATTACACTACGCTCAGCGTAAACCATGTCTATAATGTTCGAAAAGCTTTGAGGCTGTAGTAACGTGCCGTGACATCGCATAGTACACAGACTTGTCTTGTTTTTTGGGTTCGTTCTATTGCTTGCGATAATATGTCATTCTGTCATCGGCCTCCAATCCAGCTAAAGTAATGTGACCTGTTCACTTGAGCATGTCAAAGCATTGATCAGAAACGGGTGAAACCATCAGCACAGATAGCTCACTGTAGCTGAAGGGTGCTTTGGGAGAAACACTTGTGTCGCCGATAGCCAGCGCCACAGCCGATGCGGCGGGTGGAACCACAACTAGCGCTCTCATAGGTGAAGAGGAGCATTCCGCGGGCCGCACCAGAGTGAGAGATTGAGCGGCCATGTCTCTGTCATGAAAATCAGTATAACACAAAAGTAAAACGTCTCCTTATAGAAGTAGTTTAATGTTTATTGTTCAACGATATAAGAGAGCTCATGCAATGTTTGTTGGTGTTCGACAGCTAAAACACCATTTAATTTGAATTCACCACGCTGATGCTTAGTGATACATCTCCATGACTGACGCCCATCATTAATAATCAAACATGCCCTTGGGGTCATGGATGCATGTGGTAGGTGTAGTAGTCATCGGTGAGATCGGAACCAAAGGAAGAAGTGTGACAACCCGAAGAGCGTGACAGATTGTGTACGAAACTTGGGCCAAGGTTAGAGGGAAATGCAATGTGTGTTGTGTTCCTTGTTGGCAGGCCACGATTTTGCATGGGGCGAGCGTGAGCGGGGAAGGCAAAGTTACATCCAGGCGAAGCAGCCACGTCGCTCTAAACGTTGCAGAGCTATTCTTGGTATTGATAGATGCTATGAGCAATGCGGATGCTTTGGGTCAGGTTATCACCTGGTAGGGCATTAAGGTGTGGACAAAATTGTATTTGTCCTGTTCGAAATGCGCGGAATTGGATGAATGTATAGGAATGACGCATTGGAAGAACTAATTGTGGATGTGACTGTCATGATGCACTTTATTAAGAGCACTGTGAGAGGGTTGATATAATAGTTGCATTTTTAAAGCCTATGAAGTATGTAGCTGTGGTGCAGTAGATAGCGTGCCTGGCAGCTATTGTCGCCAGCCAAGAGAGGATGGGTTCGACTCCTGTTGACGGAACTTTTTTTCTTTGTCTTCTGATCATGTGTATTTTTCGACATCATTTTCATGATGTAAGTCACTGAAATTTTGGTGGACACCGGCATAAAACACTTTCATGTTAAAAAAAAGTAATGTGCTGTTTTCTGCTCATAAAAAATGCCCTCTGTAGTGTCAGTGTAGGTTGTAGAACTGGAGATTCTGCCTGCACATTTTCAGTGAAAATGTAATGTGCATATGGTTTTACAGTGTGCTCATGTATCGATAGTGCTCTGACTTGTGTTTTGTCCACACCACGTGAAGGTTGACCAATACAATTCGAGACGTGGCAATGTGGAAACTCTTTCTTTTTGCATATTGGATTGAAATTGACCATTGCATATGTAAGCATTACTTTAGTATGCTGAGGACTGTTCACAGTGCTTTGTTTTCGTGCATGTCTTCTCTTTAGAGTATAGAGCAGCATTGTTTTTTGAAGCGGAATTTTGAGCAAAATTGCTTACATGTGGCTTTATTTGTCTTTGGTCTATAAACAGTGTGAAGGCTCACTTGCAGCTTGCACCTTATTTGTTGCAGAGGATGAAAGCAAGCTCAAGGCTGTTCAAGAACTGAGCGAAGAGTTGGAGGTGAGTCGGCCTGTTACAAAGACTTGGCTCTTCGTAAGAAGTTTTAGTGAAAAGAAAGTACTGCATACTTGTTCTGCTCTATGTTTACGCTCATTAGCATAACAAAGTAAGCTTGCCCAAGTCATGGTAACGACTTGCAAGACCGTGACAATTTTTTGTCTATACCGTAAAAAAAAATAGCCGCCTAAGCACTTTCTACAAAAGGCTAGTAAAGTCGCAGTGTGCAGTCCGTGTGTTTGTCTGAATTATTGGTCACATCTTTGCTGTTGACCATCCCATTTTGCTGCCCCAGATGCGCATGCGCTCACTGTGATGGAAAATAGCGTCAGAACTGGCACAACCAATCACATGCCCCTTTTCTATTAGCTCTGTTGCAGTCACTCTGCCTACATGTGTCTTGGTGTAGGTAGATGCGAGATCTGTAAACCAGCTATCTCTCGCTTGTGCCTCCACTGCTCAAGTGCGTTGTGCCTGAGGTGTTTCGCATGCACTGTCGCATTTGTCCACAGCCTAGCCTTGCACATCTTTGCTCTATAAGTCGCAGCTTCACTGCAAGGGCAAAGCAATGGCAACAACATTAGTACTATATAAGATTAGCATAGCTGCTCCCGGATTTTGACTGTTTTTTCGGGTTGTATGATTGTCATGAAAATCTCACGGAAATCGAAATTTCTGTCCTGATCTGGCTGTATTGACAAAAAAGCAGCTAAATCCGTTCCAGGCTTTTCCAACCTACCACATTTTATTATAAATGAGTTTAAAAGCCGTTCATGTAAACGTGCAGTATAATCTCAGTTATACGAAACCGCGGCAGATACGAATTCTTAAATTCTTCAGCCAAATTTTACTATGTTCATTGGGTCTTAAGTCGAATGTTCCGAACACATTTCCTAATCGTGACGGGTGATACGAACTTTAGTACGGAAACCGTGAAACGAAGGCCGAGAGCAGCGTACTCGAAGCTTTGGACGTACGCGTGCGACCGGCGCACTACAGTGTGTGTGATTGTCGTTGCCACAACCACTGAGGAGGAAACCGCGGTCGCTCTTAACACGATCATTTATGGCGACGACGTAACTGAGAGGACCCCAAGAGTGTGCGCTCAACCAGTCAAAGACGCTGCTTTCCGCTTCAAAGCAACGCTGCTTTCCGTGAAATCTCCAGACCACCCTGCGGCATATGCTGTCATAGATGTCATAAAACGACTTAGTTTTGAAGGCGCGTGCGCAGCCAAGAGCAATTGGGATTGTAAAATGAACTACCGTTTGCCGCTGCTGCCGCGCACAAAACCGCAGTCGCAGCGACGCTATAGCGATCTATGAGCTCCGAGCGCACGCAGCGGTAGGTTAAATGCAGTAAATACGTAAAAAACAAAAAAGTTAGTTTCGCCGCAAAGCCGAACAAAAAATGCGACAGCAACAACTTGGAATGTAACGCTGAGAATGGCAAGCAGATCGAAACGTGCAGTGCGCTGTTCACACACAAATGACGCACAAAAATGATACTCGCAGGACGAGAGCGAACTAACAGTGTTTACCGTGTGGGGTCTCGAATTGGGGAGCGTGCGCCACGCCACGCTTTTGAAGTGAACAGACACAGTAGACACGGTCGATACAAACCAAAGAACAATACACATTTATTTAGCTAATTTATAACGATGTTGTCTACCGAATCGTTACATCAATCGTAATTAATATGCTAGGACGTCGTTACACAATAACACGACACACTAACACACCCAAATCAGCGTCGCCAACTCTAGAGACTTACCACGAGGGCCCCCGGCGCGCAGGCCTGCGGTGCTACGCGTCGAGGACCCACGCTAGAGACAACCGTTCGCGGCAACCGCCACGCGCAGAAGAGGCTCACTCAACTCTCGCCCGCCACCAAGGCTTGATTTCCGCCAGGGGTCACCACCAGAGCTACCACTCTCACAACCATGATGATGATGACAGTGGTAATCAACGCCACCTACTACCTGATAGATGTCACCCGAAATGCGGCTTTTGGGCGAGACACATGGGCCACACGGCACAAACAACTTTACAGGGGGTGTCAGCAGCCCCACATTCCCCAAAACTTAAAGGAAACCATGCCCCAAAAACGAAGAAATCAGCTACACAAGCTTTAACAAAAAAATGACATCACATGTTCATAATGTCCCTGCGCCACGACACCGCCGCTGGTCGACACTGCTGCACTGTCCGGCTCGACTTCACCTCCGTACCGGCCTCGCAACAGCAACGTTGCCGTCGGCGCGACGAACCGTCGCTAGCGCCGACACGTCTTCCAGTTGCGACCAGCACTCACAAGGGCATCGGACTGCAGGCAGTTGCGCAGGTCCCAGGCATCTCCATCGCCCGACCTCACAACCGTGTTTCTGGCCAGCGACGCTGACACTGTGCAGAAGACAGCCGGCCGTGGATGACATCCCTCATCCCCATGAGGTCACTTTTCCTAATTCGTGCATTGCAAGATTAAAAAAAAAAAGTGAGGAAAGCAGAGCGCAACACCTCAACGCCACGATCCACCTAGTTGTGCCACGTGCGACAGGCGGGTGCGTAGTTCCTTAGGCCTAATGAGTCGCTCGACAACAACCGGCATCCACCCAGCACCCAGCCTAGTGTAGAAGAGGCAGCCGTGAGGAGACATCCACTCTGTGAGGTGGCCCTATCGCTCGCCGCACACAGCAGCTCACCGAGCGATTGGCGTCCACCGCCCCGGGCAGGTGTCACGACGCCCCGGCGTAGAGCCGCAATACCAGACAGCAACGACGCCCGACTTCCTGAGTCCAAAGAGTTAGAAGAAGCTATTTACAGAATATCAGACCACCCACGAGGCTTCTGTACTCACTCGCTTCGGGCCTGGCCTACAAACCACGTGTTCTAGGCCTTGCTCACCCCAGGATGCAGACCGCATGGCTCTCGTCCCAATTCAACAACGGTTTTGAAAACTAACACCTACAAAAAAGAACAACTCTTCAAAGCAAAAAAAAAACAAACGCAACCTGCTGACAAATTCAAGCACGTCACAAATACCAATCTCCTCGCTCTCAACAAAGCACATCACCTACGCTAGCAAAGAAGTCCTTCTAGGCCTGCTCTACCCCGGCTCTAACAAAAGCTTGTACCGAACCGCAAAAACTGTCGTCCGATACTCTAAGAGCTCCACGTTGGGCAGCCAGTGTGAGGTCTCGAATTGGCAAAAGAAGGGAGCTTCCAATTCGAGACCCCTGAACCGCTCGACACGTAACGTGCTGTTTAAACAAAAACGATGCACGATACGTAATCACAGGTACATATGAGTACAAACAAACAAGTGTCCCAGTTATACTTCGCTGTGTTTGAAAAGTGTGCTGCTTCGCAAAAGGGGCCTGTGCAGAAACCGAAATGGCCTTTGTGGGCCTGGCAACTGATGCTTTCGTTTTAGTGAAAGCCGAAGGCACTCTATTCCCCCACCAAAGGATAAGCGTGCACGCACAGGCATCCATCCATGGGGAAAAGTACACGTGAGAGATAAGCACACGTGGGCGCATCGCGACGAGCTTGGCGCCGAGCGCGGGCGGCTTTTTTTCTTTGAGTGTTCATATATATGTGACGCTATGATGAGTGGCAGACGTGGCCTGGCTCAACGTTACTAGATAGGTTCAGTTTTAAAACTCTTCCCCATGCGCCGTGCGCCGCCGGCGTCTCCGTTTCTCGGCGTGCCGCGAGAGGGCGGGACCGCCTCATTTTGCTCTACCCGGCCGCTGCTCATCGCGTGCAACGGTGCTTCTCCCAACGCCGCTTCGGCCTTCTCATGACGTTAGCGCACGATAACATCAAAGATTACCCGCTACCCGTCAAGTTGTCTGCGTCCAGACTACATCTAGGCCAGAGTACTTTCCAGTAGCTGCTCAGGATCGCTTAATGTGGGGCAGAAAAGCCGTCCGTTACAACTCATTGCATTGCTTTATACAACAGGTCAGCCGAAGCGCATCGTAGTTTGCGCGCGCTTGCGTCGGCTGCTCGCCGGCAGTCAACCACGAGCGTGAACGGCAAGCTGGTAGCATGGAATAAGCCTCCGTTAAAACTTATTTTGATTGTCTCTTCCGAATTTTATAAAAAATAGCGAAACCGCTCATTTTGTTTCCAGCCAAAGAAGCAAGGTACCTTTTTTTGGAATAGTACCTTTTCCATGTCTTGCCCTGACAACAGTTAGCTTTACCAAACGCCACCAAGAAGCGACATTTCTGCAAAAGGCGAAATTGCTTTAATTGAAAGAATTATTGAGTCAATTAACTGACGAAGTTAAACCAGCTTACATGTCAATAAGCATAATGTTCTTTTCAGCAATTTATTGGTTTTCACAGTGCACACTTTACGGCAGACACAAAGTAGAAAAATATATGCAACGTTTTTTTTTTTAAATATACAATCAACTCCACACCTTTTTTGCTTGAGGTGAATATTGCTACAATATACTAAAGCATGTTAAGAGAAACAAAGTAAGTAATGAACAGATACATGCAAGCATGTTTATTTACAAATCAACTCCACATCTTTTTTGCTTACGGTGAATATGGCTACAAAATACGAAATCATGTTGACAGAAAAAAAGTAATGAATAGATACATGTATGCAAGGTTTTTTTTTTTCATTTACAACAAACTCTACAACTTTGCCAGCGTGCTTACAGCAGCTTAGCGCGTTTGCGTGCCGACTTGACCTGCACATTCAAGGCACGCTCTCGCTGAAGGAATCTGGAATAGAAATGCATGCGCGTCACAAAAAAAAAAAAAAAAAAAAAGCTCCTTATCCGCACGCGGGATGGCCTTATTCCAAAGCGAGCGAAGCGTCGCATCTTTGGGAGCCGAGAAGAAGTGCCTGTCCGTGTTGTTCTTGTTGCTGCTGTAGCCACTGGTACACCCGGGAACGAAGCAGGTCGGTATTGTCGGCCTCAGCCTCACATGCAGAGGCCCACAGCAATGAAATACAGTCGCTGGAAAATCACTAAATGTGCCACTCGAACGGCATCGCTCATGCAGCACTTCTGAAAACGACTGCGCGAACAAGAAACGCCGGAGACCGGGGCACCGAATGCGCCGGCTACTGCGGCGCATAAGCGAAACCGCCTGCGAGCGCCCCGGCAACCGAGCCGGTTGCGACTGCAGCGCCACAGAGAGAAAGATCGGTGTCGGTTCCGGGCAGCGCCGGCCAGTTTTACAACTGAAAATAATCTAGTAACGCTGGCCTGGCTCATATGCCATTTCTATTTCATTGTCACTTCTTTCTTCTCGACCTCTACCAACCATTGCTTCATACATCAAATGATTCCGCCTCCCCCCGAAAGAAGGCATAGATTACGAACAAGAAGTAGTAAACAAGGAGAGATTAAAAAGTCACAAATGTCAAAATTCATAATTGGTTCTATGCTTCAGGGGAGTTCCGTAAACTTTTCAAGACTTCAGAAGATAGTGCAGCAGTCCGGTTTACGCAGGGGTTCTGGTGGGCGAGGCTGACTGTGGCGTTCTGGAGAAGATAACCACGTCCTGCACAACTGCACTGACCATGACACCGCTTCAGCAGCTGCGAAGAACCAACGAGGCTGGACGTCCTCGTAGAATTTGAAGGTCGGACGCCGTAGGCGCCGAGTTTTCTGTCATGGAGGCTGTATTCTTTGTCGTAGCTGAGACAAAAGCATTGCTTCCAGCTTGCCTTTGTGAAACTGAAGTTGATGATACGATGTTTGTGTACCTGCATTTTGCAAATGGTAAATTCAGTCTCTTTCGTGGTTTTTGTGGCGGTATCTCCATCGGTAGGATTGTACATGAATGCCTCGATATCTGGTACAGAAGACTTCCTTGACGTTTCCTTCTACGAATATGGCTCAAATGTTGACTTGGTCTTTCCTTTAGTTGGTGTCGTTTCTGACGAGCATCCTTAAGCCTCAAATCTGCTTGTGATCTCATTTTAGTTCGTCGTTGTGCTTGATGCAACTGCCGTAGTTTCCGGAGTTCTTTTAGTTCTTGATGGCACTGCTCATGTTGCGGAATCTTACGAGGTGGTACTCCTTTAGTAACACGAGCCTGCTTTTTCTTCATAGTTAATGTGACTAGTAGATAGTTGGTAATCGTTGGGTTGTCGTGATTCTCTAAAGAAAATGAATGAAGGTGGTGCACTAGAATTGACTGGAAGGCCTTTGGAGGCTCTTGCAACGCCGTTCTTAATAGACGCTTCTGATACAGGGCAGTGCTTGAGAGTGGATTCTTCCGAGCCTACTGTGTTTGTTGGACTCTCAGGTGGCTGGGAACTTGACGGCGACACTGACAAATGCTTGATTTGATCGGATTTTGCTTGGGATTGTTTTTCTGTCTGCGCAACCTTGGAGCTTGACTGTTCTGATGCATGAATATGGACGGTAGACCCTGGGCTTGGCTGAGTATTTCGGAGTTCTTCAGGTCTATAACAACCGTAGCGAGCGTGTGAGGCGTGAGGTGGGCGTTGTAACTGACAAGCCAAGTGACGGAAAACTAGGTGGTGGGCCAAGTGTACGATGCGGGGAGTACAGTGCACTGTATTGTCGGGTAACACGAGTCCTATGGTGCAGTAATGATGTAGAAGCCAATTTTCGTGCCGTTGCAAAATACGGGGGAAGATTAAATCTTCGTGGAAATAGATCTTGATGTCTTTCAGAATGGGTATGGCCGACTCGATTTGGCTGTTTTAGTGCTTAAAGACGGCTGATGGTTGTGACAACTGAGATCGATTGCCTTCAGATCATGGGTTTTAAGTGAATCTCTATCGTAATCTTTAAATGGAATGATCATTCTTTGATTTTTTGCCACGATTCGTCACTTTCAAATATGTGGGTGAGGTAAAATTTGAATGCATCATTGGTAGCATAGTCGGTAAAGTTGACGACCATCTCCCGTTCCGACCTTGATGCAGCGATAGCGTGGAGCTCGAACAGGTCGAACCAGTCCTGTACAGGTCCATCGTCTGCTGCTCCGGTGTACTTGGGAATGGGAAGGTCAGTCGATGATTCCGTCATGATGCTCGTCAATGTGTACTGCTAGGTGCTTGTTCGGTAGTTTATTTATGGTCAGGGTGTCTTGCGGAGAACCTTGTCGATGATGTGCGACTGATAAAGGGGCTGGTAGGTCTCAATCCTGTCGACTCGTGTGACGAGTCATTTCATCTGATAGTGCTGTTGTGAACCTTCTGTATCGCAGTCCATTGTCACATCGGTGCACTACCCAACGTTCCTGGACCATGCCATGCGGGTGTTCTTGCGCATTCTCCAGGAGGGCAAGCCGCAGTTCATTGCTGAACACAACATGCAGGTGAGTGTTGCCATCCTCAGGCTGCTTCTACGAACTGAATAAATCCGGATTTTTTATGTAAAATATGTTCGTGGAATGGTTTCCTTGATAGTCGTGGAATTTTTAAAGGACACCATTGAACAGGGCTTGTAAAATATACTTTGAAATGGTATCGTGATACGATACAAAATGCTCAGGCTAGAAGTATTGGAGATACATATACAAGATACTGCCGCAAAAATTGTATCCGACTAGACCACCACAGTCTAGTAGCAAAGGTGTATGCACAAAAAGGACTGCTTAGAAAAGTTTTGAAATGTGCTCAATTTTATTTTAATTCAATGTTTGTTTTTATATCAAAAGTATTATCCCAAACTAAATTAGTCTACTTCCGAAGAACTTATTAAAGCTTGTTTTGGCTGCCTTAACAGGACAGCTCTGTAGACACTTTGCTAACAGCAGTTCTTGCTTGCCATTCAGTAACTGATGGGAGTCTCCGCTGAGCTTGCCGACCTGCTATAGGGGACTGTCATCTAATCACACGGCTTTACGTGGTAGCGCAAATTCAGCTTGTCCATAAAATGTTTCGCAATACCAAACCACGTGTGTAATCCGCAACAACGCTGGTAGCGACTTTTCTGTGCAACATTGTGTATAGGCATACGTAGAGCGAATAAAGCTGCTGTTGATTTTCTTTTTTTCTTATCTGCTGGTGTGAACAATTTGTTGTCTACATACAGTCGAACCCCAGGGACAATATTGCCGCGACATAGTGCCTGCATTCAAACAACGTGCCCATTACCACGCGCACAGGGACATACATGCGCGCCGTCTAGTGTTGCACAGAGACGATTATGATAGCACGAGAACCCAGCTGGCCCCGGCTGATGTGCGCCACACGCTTGGGACTCTTCTTGGAGAAGTAGAAGAAGGAGACATCTTTGGTGTTCTGCTGTAACGTGCTACGACCATAGTCCCTTTGAGTTGTGGGCACAGGGTCGCCCTTTAATAAATACGTTTTATTACACCCCGAGTCCTTCAACATCGTTACATTTCTGGTGGAAGGTGCTGGGTAATGAACCAAAGCCCTACGAACGCAAGACAGCGTAGCCCCGACCACCAGCGAGTTGATCCTGGGGAGCTGACACCTGTGCATCAGAGGACCAGTCGCCGTCTTTGAGGTGATTCACCAGAATTCAGTCCACTCCACTTCACGCCAAGGGGAACTCGGTCAATGGATGCCGCCATCATGACAAGTCATGTAACACCGGCCCAAGTGATGATAAATCAGCCTCACCAGCCACCAGTATTTCATGGCGACTCGTCACGGACCCGAGCTAACGAGGGAGTTTTGACTCTTTCCCACGCCTAGCCGTGCGTGGCTAGTGGCTAAGGTACTCGGCTGCTGACCCGCAGGGCGCGGGTTCGAATCCCGGCTGCGGCGGCTGCATTTCCGATGGAGGCGGAAATGTTGTAGGCCTGTGTACTCAAATTTGGGTGCACGTTAAAGAACCCCAGGCGGTCTAAATTTCCGGAGCCCTCCACTACGGCGTCTCTCATAATCATATAGTGGTTTTGGGACATTAAACCCCACATATCAATCAATCAATCAAGCCGTGCGTGGCTTTGCCGTTTCCGGGGAAAAGGGGATCCTGGGGGTTGAGCCAACGCTGGGTGATTGGACCTTTAAGGCCCCCCGGCAGAGGTAACACACCCCTTTGGCCCCGGCTTCACGTAGACGGCACCCCTGGGCTGACCCACCGAGGGGAAATCGGCAGTCGCCTTTTCCTATCTCTCTCTTCCTACATCTTCGTCTTTATCTCTCACTTTTTATCTGTCCTGTCATCTCCTCTTTTCCGTTTACTTCAGAATTTCCTGGTGGCGAGGGTTAACCCTGTGTAGTTACCCAACCTTGGGTAGTTATATTCGGTTATAGCGGCGATGCATGGCTGGCGTCTCCAAGTGTTCACTAGTCAACCTTGCTAGCGTCCCCTTGTTGGGCTCGGTGGTGGGTGGCCACCATAACCGCCGAACTTTATTGTATTTTATGGCAAAATCTTTTCCCCCCCTTCCTGATCGCTCCCTAAAAAGGTAGCGCACCGAAGATACTTTCCTGCCTAACACACCAAAGCCGACATTCCCAAAGTACCATGTAATCCACAGTCAAAACGAAAAAAAGACAGTCCGAGCTATTTCACCTTTCCTCGTTTCCAAAACTCTCACAGAAGCAATAGGCCCAGGTTACAAAGTAACAAAGATGGGATGTGGCGATCTTCTTCTGGAGGTTCGTGACAAAGCTCAGTATGAAAAGCTGTCTAAGCTTGTAGCCTTTGGGGAAACCCCTGTTTCGGTGGGCCCACACAGGTCCATGAACACTGTCCGTGGCGTAATTTCTGATGATGATCTTACTGAGCTTTCTGAAAGTGAGCTGCTCGAAGATTGGCAGGACCAGAACGTGGTCAAAGTCCAACGAATAACAATAAGACGCAACAACAAACTGACCCCTACAAAACACGTAATAATTACCTTCGGAACAAATGACCTACCAGAATCAATCGAAACCGGCTATTGTAAGCTTCCTGTAAGAGCAAAGTGCGCATCCATTCAACACATATCAGACAACTGCACCTCAGAAACAACTCATTGTTCGAACTGTGAAGGAGACCACGCTGCCTACTCACGATCATGCCCCACATGGAAAAAAGAGAAACAAATAGTAGAACTTAAGGTTAAATTCAATCTCACATTCCAAGAAGCGCCCCAACGCTTCGCAATACACAACCCATTTTATCCTTCCTTTGCAGATGTGACGCGCCGGGGCGCCGCGCCACATGCCTCAGCACCCGCGAATGTCACACAGTGTGTGGCCGCGGTCGTGCCGCCAGCGCCCCCGGCTGGAGCAGCCTGTACTGCTCCGCCACCTGACAAACAGGGCCGGCAGACCCTAGTGTCTGCTGAACCTCGGACCACTGCAGGCGCAGTCAGGTCCGAAAGTTCAGTGAATGTGCCTGCCCAGCAGGCATCATTCACCACCTCACATGAGGTGATGGATACAAGTCCCACTCCTCCAGCGCCTCAGACGCCGAAGGATAGGCGCAACTCCTTGGAGCGCGCCAAAAAAGAAAAACCTCGAATCACAGGGCCCTCAAAAGGCCCTGTAAACTAACGCAACACCTCTGCATGCACAGCACCACACTAAATTAAAATGACACAAATACTGCAGTGGAACGTCGGAGGACTGTTGAGAAACCTCGACGATGTCCTGGAACTTTTACACAAACATACACCTAAGGTGCTGTGCGTAAAAGAGACACACCTGAAACCGAAACACACCAACTTTTTACGTCACTACGTTATTTTTCGGAAAGACTGGAATGATGCCATTGTGCCATCCGGTGGTGTTGCCATTATAGTCAATCAAGAGATTGCATGCACACACCTAACACTACAAACATCCCTTGAGGCGGTGGCTGTTCGAGCAGTTCTATTGAATAAGCTCGTCACCATCTGCTCTCTCTATATACCTCCACAACACCGTCTTGAAAAGCATGAATTCGAGTCCCTCATAGACGAACTTCCAGAACGTTATATTCTCCTGGGAGATTTCAATGCACATAGCAATCTGTGGGGTGACTCTCGCTGCGATGCTCGAGGTCGCCTGATTGAACAGCTTCTTTTTTCTTGCGGTGCATGCCTGCTGAATCGGAAAGCGCCAACATACTACAACATTGCTAACAATACGTACTCAGCAATAGACCTCAGCATAATATCCCCATCACTCTTGCCTCTACTTAAATGGGAAGTTATTTACGATCTATATGGTAGTGACCACTTTCCTATCGTTATCAGCTCATCAATAACAAATTTGTCCTGCACAAGTTCCCAAATGGCTCACTGACAAAGCCGATTGGGAAAAGTTTCAAAAATGACTTTATTATCTTGGACTGACATGGCGGCATTGAGCATAGAGGATGCTGTATGCTACTTTACAGCTTTCTTGGTTGATGCAGCAACAAAATGTATTCCCCAAACATGTGGACCGTCAAGTAAACGACGAGTCCCATGGTGGAATAATGAGTGCCGTGATGCTCGAAAAAAACAAAATAAGGCATGGAGGTTGCTTAGAGACTCGCCCACAGCCGACAATCTTGTAAACTTTAAGAACGTCAAGTCGCAAGCAAGGAGGATGCGCCGACAGGCGAGAAGAGAAAGTTGGCACAAATTTGTATCGGGCATTAACTCATACACAGATGAGTCGAGAGTCTGGAGCATGGTTGGTAAGGTGGCAGGACGAGAAGCACATTCGCTTCCTCTAGTGAACACACAAGGGGAGAGTTCGGAAGACCAGGCAAACACTCTCGGAGCGCACTTTGAACAGGTCTCCAGCTCAACACACTATAGTGAAGCGTTCTGACGATACAAAACCGCAATAGAAAAACAGAGATTAGAGCGCAAGCCCAGAACACATGAGGCATACAACGAACCTTTCTGTTTGGCTGAACTGCAGGCCTCACTTGCCTGCTGCAATAAATCTGCCCCAGGCCCGGACCTTGTGGCATATGAAATGTTAAAACACCTGCCCACTGAAACCCACAAAGCTCTCCTCTCTCTTTATAATGCGATATGGTCTTCTGGCGAGCTACCCTCAGCCTGGAAGGAAGCTATCATTATCCCAATTCTAAAACAAGGCAAGGACCCGGCCTCAGTTTCCAGTTACAGGCCAATAGCATTAACGAGCTGTATTTGCGAAGTCTTTGAAAAAATGATTAACAGGCGCCTGATGCACCCCCTTGAAATTAGTGGCTTACTTGACCCATACCAGTGTGGGTTTCGAGAGGCTCGGTCCACCACTGACCACCTTGTCCGTATCGAAGCACAAATTCGCGACGCTTTTGTTCATAATCAATTTTTTCTTTGTTTTCCTCGATATGGAAAAGGCATATGACATTACATGGCACTTCGGCATATTGCGAGACCTGTCACATTTAGGTGTGCGGGGTAGAATGCCAGGGTGTCTACCA